AGGAAGGTTAACATGATCCTGGAGAGGGGAGTTAATTTTTTATTGCACAGGGTGAGCGTGTGCCTCTCCCTTTTTACTCCCGCTGGCACATGGGGTGCATGGAATGGCATCGCCTGGCATGAATTGTTTTTAATGCCTGTGATGTGCTCCATTGGGCTGCTCCTTCCACATCTCCGCTATTTGATCTGCAGGAGAGTCCCCGGGAGCTGGGTGGCTGCCAAACCTTTCTGTTCTTATGAAAAAATCAGTATCTAAAAATAGGTTGCTGGCCGCTCTGAGAGCCGTTCATGCGGAGAGGAGATTCATCTCAGGAGAGGATGGCACACCACCTCCTCTGCCTGTATTCACCCAGTCCTGATTTAACTACTACTTGGCTGTTAGTAGCTGCTCTGCAATAACTGGTTAAAGCAAACCTTTCACTTTCCACCTCCATTACAGGATAACACCCCCCCCCAAATGCTGGTGTAAGGACTTACCTTAAATGATGCCTCTTGATCCGAGCATCTTCTTTTCTTGTAGTTTTCAGCTGTCCCTCCGATCCAGCGCTGACTCCTCTGTGCTAGCTGGTACTTACTGTCCCACGGAGTCTGTGGGGGTGCACGCTGATCCATAGACTTAGCTTGTGCGTCTCCTTGTTTCCCGGCCAAAAATCTGAACTGCACATGCGCCCGCCCCAAGATCCTTTGTGGCCACCCGAGACTCTTAAGCCCCGTTCACATTGAGCGATTTAAGGCCCCGTTCCTACTGCGCGATATGCATATTGCGCGAGATTTGCCGCGCGATATCACGTTCAAGCTTGCATTGAGCAAGCTTGAATCGCGGCTAAATCCGCTCCAAAAAGGGTCCTGCTGTAGCGACACACGACCCACGACAGCAGGACCCTTTGCCCCATTGAAATGCATTGGAGCGCGATATCGCTCAATGTGAACGGGGCTTAAGATGTTTGGACGGGAGCGCGCAGCAAAGACGCAGGTAATATCTACTGCTTGCTAGCAGTAGATATATGCAAAAACCGCTGAGGGTTTAATAATCCTTTAGACAGCAAAGTGGAGATAACCGTTGGGTAGCAGCCCCTAAAAGATGTTAAATGCCCCAGTGGACCCTGATTCATGGCTGTTCCCGCTTTGATGTCCTGGCACCCCCCTGCATACCTTCAATACAGTGCGCAGCAGCAGAATGGGGGTGACTTCGTTATCAGCAAGCATGCAAACCTAAAACATCGCTTTTGGGCAAGTGTTAAGTCCGTGAATTCTACAAATTCTGTAACCGGTATAGTGAGCAGCACCAGAGTGGAGATCCAAATGTGGCTCCTGAAGCGGTGGTCGTTGATCGCTAATCCAAAGTAAAATGTTTTGTTGACCTGAATCATTTCAGCATTTATTATTTTGTATCCTGTAAACCAATCCAATGGTTTTTGTTTTTGCAGTGCGAGGATGTCGCCCTGGAAAGATTGTCCAGATGACGGAGGCAGAAGTACGAGGCCTGTGTATAAAATCTCGTGAGATCTTCCTCAGTCAGCCCATACTGTTGGAGCTGGAAGCCCCACTGAAGATTTGTGGTAAGTTACTGCGGACTTTTGCTTTTTCATGCTGCGCCCTCTCTAAAGTGTATGTAAATTTCCTTCAACTTCCTGTTGCATTTGCGGGACTGGATTTAAAGGCAAATCTCTCTCCAATGTCACGCGGATGGCAAATAAATAACCCAATAGGGTTTTAACTCTTTCCCTTCTCTATAAAAAGAAAAATGCCCAGCCATTCATAAAACTATACCTTGTGGTGCAATGTTTCCTTTAAAAGATAAGTGTGATTTAAAACAAAGCGCATTTATCCTTTTTTGCCCCTTTTACCTTGACATAACCTAATTCCCCCTCTCCCTAAAGGTGCATACGTACCTCAATGTGATGGCCGCAGTTCTGCTGTTCCAGCGATGCAAGTCTTCACTTTTCTGGTTGTGCCTGTGCATTAATGCCATATATAATTCTGTGGGGCTGTATCCTGAGGCCCATGTCCCATAGAAGTCTATGGGGCTGTAATGAGCAGGTGTGGATAAGACCTCCCGTCGGATCGAGGTATTTATGCATCTGTGGAGGAGGGAATTTGGGTTGGCGTAGGTACAGGGAAAGAGTCAAAAAGTTTAACTTTTAAAAGGCATTTAGCTTTTTAGTCATGCAGCCCACCTGGCCAGTAGTTGCCTTTTAGTCTTTGTTCTAGTATCTTCACTGTGTGGCCCTACATTGATCCGCACAACCTTTTTTTTTTTTTTTCTGAAAGCATTTACTTATGGCAGCCTCCAGCGGTCCTGCAGAGTATGGCTTTCCCTGTATGAATGTGTGGGGGCCATTGTGCACATGCACAGGATGAAGAGGACCCGTGGTGAGGCTTCAAGTAGGGACCTACAACGACGGGTGCTGGAACAGCGATGAAGGAAACTCATTTTGAATAGGCTGCAACTTTTTTTGTCAACGCACGGGCGTTATTGCACGTTATGATTTTACCATGCATGTAGTTGTGAGGCTGTGTTCACTTAGGTGATCCGTGAGCGTGCGGCAATCGTGCTTAAAACTGCACAGACATCCGGACATAACGGAATCGCACACCACTGCTGATCGTGGTGGCATTCTTTTCTAATGGCACCCTAGTCACGGCAGGCAGATATAACTTTTTTCTCAGAGCTTGCCACGCAGATATAACCCCTTTGAAATCAATGGGGCTGCGTGGCAACCGCTGTGCATGGTCCTGGGACGGGGGTCCCTGGATTGCCCAGGTCTGAACCAGGCCTAAGGCCAGTCTAAAGAAATCTAATGCTAAAAGATGTATGAACGCATCAAACCTCTCCTGAAAATGCTAGCTGCCTGGTTGTCATACTCATCCAGTAGCTTTAATGTATCGAATAAAAACTGCCTGCTTGTTCACTGTCATTTGATTAGGATGTACAGATGTTCCTCACTTACCGACTTAACCTGTTTTGCGACCACTCGCACTTACGACGGACCGCCGATCGACCTCCGACCTTGCGCGTCAGCGTCAGTGCGACGGGTCGCCGGCGGAAGTGACATCCCCCGATCTTCACTGCAGGTCTCGGTAAGTATTTCCATTGCCGGATGTACAGTACACTGTTCGGTACTGTACATCGGCAACGCTATACAGTACTGTCCTAATGCAGTACAGTACTGTATAGTGTTCCTCACTTAACGACCAATCCGTTTAACGACCTGGTCGTAGGAACGGAACTCGGTCGTTAAGTGAGGAATACCTGTATTGAAGCTATTATATCAGATTGATGGTCAGTGTTGTTGCAGTCTGTGTATACCTCCTGTAAAGTAGAAAGGCCATTTTAAAAAAGTTGGGAGTCAGCAATATGGCTGTGATCTGTTGTATGTATGAATAGAGAATGTTAAAAACCATGTTGGTGTTTATTTGAAGCGTAAATCTTTTTTGAAACCTCAAAAATGTATTAAATGCCTATGGGAGATGCATTGATATTCCTGTGGATGCTGATGTCATTTATCTTTGTTTGCACAAAGCCATTTCTCTGCCCACACCATGCCCAAAAGCCTGCACCACCATATCCAAAATGATTCATCAGTGGATGGCATGTTCTTGTAATCTGGCTCATGTCCTCTGTGCAGAATAAAAAAAATGAACTATAACCGGAAAACCTTGAGGGATCTCTGGAAATAGTACTTTTTATTATTTTCATTTTTTTTCCTTTTGTGAGATCTCACTGATGGTGTATAAGAGCTCCCTGTAGAGACCTGGTGGCATTGCCTTCCCAGGAGGTAACTGGGAGGCCCGGTCTAAGTCACTGGGGTCTCAGGAGAGGTGGAAGTATAAATAGGAAAAATAGTACATTTAAAGAAACTATGGCGGGTTGCATTATGACTGTAATGTGTTTCCTGTTCAGCATACCGAGCTGCCTGTGATGGCTTCAATAATATTGTCACAAGCCAGAACAGGCATGTATAGCAAACGAAAGGTAACATACCTCATCTCTAACCTGTTACTACTCGGTGACTCCAAGGCATTTTCAGAAGCAAGCAGAGGCGGCCCACATATTAAATCTCACAAGCAGGAAGGGGAAGGTGTGTGTCTGGTGGCGGCAGGAATGGGGAGCATGTTGTAGCTGACACTGAGATCTGGACTTCATCATCTTAAAGTAATCCATGTGTCCTGATGGCTTTGGAATCTTTTTTCCAGTTGCCCCGCTTTCTCATCTTGTCCAGTGTTTACATTGTCTGCATGTCAATGAGTGGAGAGGTAAAGTAGAACAGGGGCTCTTCTGCTTTTATTCCCTTGTTTAGCAGCAGAAGCCCCACAATGACCATAATGTTTCTCACACACCAGCAATAAATCAGTACAGATGCTCCACTAGAGACGTTCATGACGAAGGTATTCTGCGTGGACAGTCCTCCCAGAGAAGTGTCAGTTGCAGGCTTTGGCTGCCTTTGTAGCATAGGTCAGATATTTATAGATTATAGTGGTGTTTCCGAAATGGCTACCTTAGGTTACATGTCGCCACTTATAACAAGTCGGTCACTCAATCTGTAGACTTTAAGCCTCTCTATAGCTGCCAGCGTTTAGAGTGTAAGCTTCATAGGTCACCGTGAACTAAACCCTTCTGAAGCTATTCTGGTCATTGCTTGCAGCAGTTGTGTCATTTAGGGGTTGTGCGTTGGTATGAGTTTCATAAAATTCCTCTAATTACCTGTGGGATGTTTGTCCAGGTGTGGTCTTCCGCAGGTAATCGGCATATGTGCAGTTTCCATGCAGACAGCTGTGACAGCGGTCATTGCATCGACAGTGGCAGATCACATGTGTCTCGTGGAGGAATTTGCATCTGTAAGCAGGAATGGGGCCCAAGTCCGGAATTGATTTTATTGATGCATACAAGGCTTCACATTTAGTGAACAAGTCAAGACTGTATTATTCCTATTTCTTCTTAAATATTGCTGAATATTGTGTTGCTTTTTTTTTTAATGTAATGATGTTGTATTTGTGATTTGCAGGTGACATCCATGGGCAGTACACAGACTTACTCCGGTTGTTTGAATATGGGGGCTTCCCGCCAGAAGCCAATTACCTTTTCCTGGGAGATTATGTGGACAGAGGGAAGCAATCACTGGAGACCATCTGTCTGCTTCTGGCATATAAAATCAAATATCCCGAGAACTTCTTCCTGCTTCGAGGAAACCACGAGTGCGCGAGCATCAACCGGATCTATGGCTTCTACGATGAATGTGAGTTCCTCAGGGGTGGAGAAAGGGAATTCAGGGGCTGATATCTCCTATCCAGGGACGAGTGACCACTTTTCACAAGTCTGGGAACGGGATCCTCTAATAACTTTTTATAAAGGCACAAATAAATCTGTGCAAATAGTTTAGGCTGTTAGTTACCTGGGTCCTGGAAATTGTCCTATTCTACTGTTCTTGGATGTTAAAGTTCAAAAGGGCAAGTAGTCACATTTCCTTTATTGGAGTTGGGGTTTAAGTAATAGATTTGAGGCTCATGTTTGCTATAGTTGTCATTCTAATGGCGAAGATGAGCTATCCGGGCCCCCCAATAAAGGCTCATTAAAGGTTGGCATCTAATGGGGAAAATGATGGGGGTTGTATTGCATCTTGAGGGTGATGTCCTGCTCAATGTTTTGTGAAATATCAAACGTTTGTATTTTGTATGACTGCATTACCGGGTCTGATGAATTAGACCAGGGGTGTCAAACTCAATTCAATCGTGGGCCGCATCAACATTATGGTTGCCCTCAAAGGGCCTGTAAGACTATATAACTGTATCTAATCTTTAGCATAATTGCCTCTGCATTCGATTATCACTGGTTTTAGTAATAACTTAATACCTAGATCTGAAAGTAGAAGTCTAGGAAATGGCTTGGTGGGCTGGATTCGGCCCCTGGGCCTTGAGTTTGACACATGTAGATTAGACTGCCCGTTTCCAAGTTAGGGATGTCTGGTCGCCTCCAGAACATTTCCATACCAGGCTTTAGGATCAATTCACAAAACACATCACGATAAGAATCCTTCTTTTAAAAAAATCAATAGTTCTTTTCTGTTGGGCTCAATGAGATTGGAAGCTGTCAGGTAGCTGAGTATAGAGTGCCCTGACTTGTGTAAAGCTTTGTGAATTGAGCCCAATCCAGGGTCTTTCCAAAGACTATCACACGTGCCCAATTCTATGTTTGCTTAATTAGCGCTTCCTGCAACAAATTAATAAATGTAGTGCTGGCCTGTTCCTTAATCTATTGCATGGTGCTGGTGCAACAGATTTGAACACCTTCCGGGCTTGTGCCAACATTTTGATGCATATCTGAGGTAATCTTCTGTTGGTACCAACCTAAATCCCTCTCCTTCCTGCATTGCTGGCCTTACTTGCACAGCCGTCACCTTGCTGCAGTGCTGGTCATTGCCTTTAGGGCCCATTAACACCAGATGCTGCACTAAGTGTGCGGTGCCCCGGCAGTGCTGAATTGTTAATCCCAGCTCATTGCACTGTTTTTTGTATTTTTTTTTTTCCTTTTTTGTTAGAACTTAATTAAAATGTCACAAGTGACATTTCATTCCGTTCTACGTGCACAGCGTGGTGCGAGGCGGTTGTACTGCATCACATCCCTCTGCGCGGAAAAAAGTAAGGCATGCCTTACTTTATTTTTAGTGCACATTGCCGCATTCGTGTGAATTGGCACCATCCATGACGAGGCAAATTGCCTTGTCTTTATTTGGGGCTGCGCTGAAAATGGCCATCACAGTTCCAGTGCAGATGGTGTGAATGCGCACACACACAGGGAATTTATCAAAATCTGGAGCAGCTGGACATGACAACCAATCAGCTTCTCTTTCATTTTCAAATCGTAAGGTGCCCATACACCTTACGGTTATCGTACGCGATCGACTTTTCGTAAGGTGCATGGGGGAGTGTTCAACCGCCAGAACTGTACAATCATACGAATTTTGCCTTTACTGCATGTTCGAAAACTTCAGTCGATCGTTCGATTTTCGCATAGTTGGCGTTTCCGTACGTCAAAAGACGTACGATCAACACCGCTCATGCGCAAACGAAAATACGTGCGGTCGATTACCGCAATTCGTCCAGGTGTTTTTTTAAACTACCACTGATTGAACCTTGCAATAATCGGGGCAAGATGGGGCCGTCGTACGACGGTTCGATTATCGGACGAAAAGTTTCGTCCTATTATCGTAAGGTGTATGGGCACCTTTAACTGAAAAGTTAAAGGTGCCCAAACTGGAGAGAAGCTGATTGGTTGCCTTGCACAGCTGATCCAAGTTTTGTCTGCTCCATTTTTGACCCCCTCACAATAATTTCACCACTCTGGTAAAGGTGTATATAAGAACTGTTCTTAAATTAGAACATTGGCGCAGTTGCTTCATTTATTTTGGTGCACACATTAGAGTTTCTGCAAACTGACTCCCAACACTTTTACCATAATTTGGCACGGCTAGTGCAACACCGCAAAGAACTTGTCTTGTTATATTGTTCGGTGCCAATAATGACACCACAAAACTGACTTCCCTTTTGTTAAATTTCAGAATTTCTGTTTTTTGTTTCATCTTCAGAATGAAACAACGGTCTTTTCTTTTCCTAGGCAAACGGAGGTTTAATATAAAGCTGTGGAAGACCTTCACCGACTGCTTCAACTGCCTGCCGATTGCCGCCATCGTGGATGAGAAGATCTTCTGTTGCCATGGAGGTAGGGGCGTGTCATGGAAATAAAAACAGATCTTTTTAGGTTGCCCGGGGTCCTGCGGGCCGAACAAAGAAAATATTAAAGGAGAACTATGAGGTGAGAAATCGCTCATCCTCATAGCCCGAGCCGATGTGTGACAACGAAACTGGTCGGGAAGTGAGAGAACACATACCGTCGCTCGCTCACTTCTCAATCGTCTTCCTGCAGAGAGCGGTGACTGTCACTCACGGCTCCCCGCAGGGATTCCCCCATTCCCGCTCCGATCCTGCTGACCGGGGGAGAGGGCGGGTACAGCTTGCTCTGCCTCTAGATAGGCAGAGCCCGCCGTCATTCATGCAGCTGGGCGGATCACGACAGTAATGTTGGGATCCATCCTGGCTGCGGCGGTGTCAGTATGCCGCGAGCTGTAGCCCGCGATATACTGAGCTTTGGTCACGGGAGAATGTTAATTTATGTCCTCCCGTGACCCTTAGAACTATGGGGAAAAACACTTACCCCATAGTTCCCTTTTAACAGATTCCCCCATCAAAGCTTATGAACTTTGATTAGAGAATCTCCTGCTGTCTTCTTTGTATTCTACCCGGGCCGGCAGCTGATTGGCTGCCTGCTTTCCAACTGGCTCCTTCGATAAGCTGATCGAGGGACGCAGGCCGAACAGGTGCCGTCAGCGACACCCACTGTGCGAATTTGGCCGGTCCATCAAGAACTGCCCCAAATGTGCAAAGTGTTCGGCCAGCTTAAATGTAATAGAAGTTGAATGTCTGAGAGTGAGGCGTTCTTGTAAGCTTTTGTTGTATTTGTGATATACAATGACCTCTTTATAGTTTGTATTTGGTTTTTTTTGGGTAGAATTTGTACTATGTAGAATGCATGTTGACTCATTCCATTTACTGTGACTGTCTTTATTATTACAGTATGAAAACCATGTCAAACCGGTTCCCAATTTACACACTTGTACTCCGTGTACTTGATGTAGTTTTACTGCGGCTTTCCTAACAATGACGCAGCGATTCCCTGCTTTAAACACGCAAAGATACTCTTTATGAATCTCCTGTATAAACAGTTTGCTGACAGCTTTTGAAATGCGACCCACAAATATTTCAATAATTCTGTCATAGGGCATCTGTACGCCGCGGAGGAGTTCTGTAATAAAATAGACGTGCAGTGTGATTTTTCAGAGTGTTAAAGTTCACAAGGAACAAAACGATCAATTCAGAAAGATGATTGTAATGGTTATGGCCCCTTAAAGGAGTAAGACCAGCTAGGTATGATGAAGCTTTCAGTCTTCCTGATTTCCAGGCGGTTGGGATCGGCACATCTCAGATACCTCACTTCCTGGAGTTGTTGGTGCTTGCCCGATCTCTCACACCTCCATGACAACTACTAGCCAAAAGGGATTGTCTCGAGTGGGTGAGGAAGCGTCAACACAGAAATCCAGAGCCGTATTTTCCTTAAGGCTCATATGGAAAGTATTGAAGTCGCTATGATGCTGTATGATGCATGCCGGGCACACAAGATTCTTACTCTCGTGTTCAGCGCCTTGGAGGGGCCTCGGTGGATAGAAGGGCTCTGCCACAGGTTTTTACTCAGCAGAACCATGTCCTGTTCAGTTTTAATGCGTCATGTGGCAGAAATATTCATAGCAACAGCCCCCGCTTGAGCACTGAGCCCTCATAGACTTGTATGAAGCTATACTTGGGTGCTGAAGTTGCTTCTCTTACTTGGAACTCAATAGGAGGAATTGATCAAAACTGGAGCAGACGGAAGCTGGAGCGGTTGGACATGGCAACCAATCAGTTTCTCTCTTCAGTTTGTTCAGGTAAGCTTTCAAAGTGAAAGCGATAAGCCGATTGGTTGCCATGCACAGCTGCTCCAGTTTTGATCAATTCCCCCCAATGTGTAAGTGCAGCCAGCACAGAAGGTTTCTTTCCACGGTGAAATCATAGTACAGGACTTGCCCTGCTATTTGGGTAAAAGGATGCGGGGTGGTGAGATATTCATGCAGGTTAGTTCAGGAGTAGTGACACGCATGGGCTTGGTGCGCACAAGCACACCGAAAGCTTTGCACAGGCTTGGGATACCTCATATCAAACCAAGCCCAAGCTTATTCTTGTTCGGGAGGGATGAGGGCTGCATTAGAGGAGATTCTTTTAAAATCAGGGGAGTTCTTTTAATGCCATGGGCCCAGGGGCTGCCATCCTCATCCTGGGTTTAAAAGTGAGTAAATGACTTTAAATTGGCATGCTGGCAGTAAAATCTGCATAAGCCCTTTCCTACATGCTCGTTCAGCTCATTGCAGTGTAAGCATGGATCCAAATCATATGTATCGGCACCGGAAATGAGCACATCTGACAAATCATTTATGCTCCATGAACTGCACGATTTTCCTATAGATGACATAAATCTGTAGGGCACACAGGCCAACGCTTCAATTTGTAGCAAGCACATGCCATGAAAATGGGCCTGGCATGCACTTACTGGCATAAATTGGGCTTGGCACACCTCGGAGAGCTTTATAAATAGCTCTGTAATCACAGAGCGTGATGCATGTAAGTTCCTCACCCTGTGTAAGTGATGACCTTCCTGTGAGCGCCAAGCTGCCAGAGAAGCACTTTATACTATCACCAGGAATGTGGCCGGCCGGGCTCTCTGAGCGAGCACATTCATCCACTAAATAACCGCCAATTAGACATTCACCGGTGTGCCGCCATTCATAGGGATTTGTAGGAAAGACTTTGAATTGATCTTCTAAAGAAGCGTGTAAACATTGGGATTCGGCTGAGAGCGCCTGTGCCGGCTGCACTGCAAGGGGGTTACTGCCCATGAGGCGACGGTCACAGAGCAAAGTTACTGCCATGTTGTGTTGCTGTATCACTGACCTGCCATGGTTGTGTTTGGGGAGATTCGGAGCTACAGGCACAGATATGGCGGGATTGAGTTACATAATGTGTGAAAGTCTAAAGCCGAATCCTTCAAATATGCCAATTAAATTCTTTACTAAAACCTTTCCGTTTTCAGTACATATCTTCTATAGACCCAGTGACATCATTGCCGGGTCTCTGCGCAATGCATGGAGATTATGGCTGGTAGGAGGGCTGGGGAGGAAAGAACTAGATGATGCTGGACATATCCCAGCCAGGAAATGAGTTCGGCTCTTTCTGACTTGCTGCCACGTCTAATGCACATTATGAGAAGCTCCCAGTGTGCAGTGATATCAGAGGAAGACATTCCAGTCCAGGAGAGGAGCCGGTACAACTGTGCAAGAGTGAAGGGGAGGCCAGAGTTTGGCATAAAACTGTTAATGATGGGGGGGAGATGGTGCTTTTCATGTGCACAATTTGGTCCTTGTTTAAAATTGTTTTGTTTTTTTTTAAGTGGATAATTTTTTGCCCTTCTGGCAATATTCACTTCCTGTCTATAAATGCAGCAGGAAGTGAGCTGAAATCTTATCAAAAGGAAATTGTCACTTATTGGAAGATTAAACCCCCTCCTCCTTTTCCCTTATTGCTGAGACGTGTCAACTCCAAACTATGGATCTTTCATTCCTTGTGACAGTAGTCACTAGTGTTGAGCCTGGGCTTTGTGTGAGCCCAGCTTACCCATGCAAGCTCAAAACTGCCCCCCCCCCCCCATCCCGTCCTATTCAGTGGTGGCGGTTGTGCTGCGGAAGTTCCTCTCCCCTTTGTGACTTATAGCCGCGCCGCTGGGAATGCTCCTCTATGCAGCTGAATAAGCTTTGAGCCGGCTCGGGTGAACTGAGGTGAACAGGGTTCACACCAAGCCCAGACTTCACCAGGACATATAGAAGGGTGCCCGGTGGGGACACAGGAATACAAATCCTATCCGAGCTTCTCAGCCTTATCCAAAATGTTAAAAACTGCCTTTAGAAAAATAAATATTCCAAAAATGTGCAAAATCCTTATTTATTTTTTTTAAATCGCCATTATTGGGGCGTCTGCACCCAGAATTGATAATTTTAGAATGCACCTCGAGAAGCGGGGACAATAATGGGGAGATGCCGCTGCTAGAATGCATCACATGATAGGAGCACCAATGACGCCTCCGATCACAGAAATACCGGTTACGGCCACTTCATTGTTTTCCTGGTTAAAAAATACCGACATGTAAACAAACGGATTTCATGAGAAGATATTTAATATATCATTTTGTCTTTCTTGGAAAATATGTATTCTAATGTTTTATTTATTTGTTGCCAGGACTTTCTCCTGATCTGCAGTCCATGGAACAGATCCGCAGAATCATGAGGCCCACAGATGTCCCTGACACAGGTAAATACTTTGCGCCGGAGGATGGATGTCTTGTTCACCGCTCCTCTGGAGACACTCTTTGCTGTCCACCCCTCAGCTGGAGTACTTCTGTCATTTATCATTAACCCCTTCCTGCCCATAATCTGTACATTTTAATGTGTCGTTGTCCACATTGCTAGGCAGCAGCCAACACTGTGTGTAGCAGGAAATCATTACACCAGGCTGTCACTCACAGCTCCCATCCATACAAACATTTGGCAACTCCCACAGCAATCGCTGTGATAAGATGACTGTCAGCCATTACATAGTGATCACATACAGGCTGCAGGCTTTATTCACTCTCACTTTGTTTAATACAGTAATTGTCAGATACAATTACAGTATTTATTTTTTTGAGGAGGGGTCTATAATCTGCTTCTTTTTTTTTTCTTCTTAATATAAATATGTGCCAAATATAAGTTTTTTATATGTCCTTGCAATATTGTCAAGTCACCATACACATACTGGTGCCGCTAGACTTCCTGTGGACACTCGGGTTTCAGTGACCTCTGCTCACAAAAGAGATAAAAGCACGGAAATATCTGTGAACTATTCAGCGCTATAAAGGTTGGATTGCTGTGCTCTGCGATAAGCCTCTCACTCCTGATCTGAGCCATGTGGAGAGATATTTACTGTTTGACATGGACACGTCCTCCAGCATCTGCAGCCAAATTCCGCTGCTGCGTGCCAGAAATCCAGACCGCTCTCAGCCCCGGCCAGCGAGTACAAACCCTCCGCTGTGCGTTGTGTGTACCCGTCTCTGCGGGCTGCCTGTCTTCCTGCTGACATCCTCAAAACGTGGTTAGTACATAGCTGTCAGATGCTGGTTGGCCATCTAGGAGCAAACGTACCCTTGAGACTGTGGCAAGCCTGTGTTTTACCTCTCGGGGAGTGGGGGGGGGTGATACCAAGAACACTATGGATCTGCTGAATACTGAAACTTTCATTGCAAGCTGATTTCACTCGTCAAACGGTTGATTGGCCGCGGTTACCGTACTTTGCATATTGCTTTTTTTTGTTTTTGCATCAACCTGGAAGACGTTGTAATATCGATGTGAACAGCGGGCTACCTTGGATCGTTCATCTTCCCTGAGGAGAGGAAAATGTGCCTTGTCCTGCAGATGTATAGAAAACGTTCCCAGCACACCTATGACTAGTGTCGGCAATCCACCTTCTATAATGATGCAGACCTCTTTATGGATTGTTGTCACGAGTCATGGGTGTGCTGGGAACGTTTTCTATATATCTGAAGATACGCAACGCCATCCGTGGTTACTACAGCACCCTCCTTTGTACATGGGGATTCCGGTAAGGAGTGCAGCACCCACCTTTGTACATAGGGGCTCCGGTAAGGAGTGCAGCACCCACCTTTGTACATAGGGGCTCCGGTAAGGAGTGCAGCACCCACCTTTGTACATAGGGGCTCCGGTAAGGAGTGCAGCACCCACCTTTGTACATAGGGGCTCCGGTAAGGAGTGCAGCAGTTCCTCTCTAAGATTGTGTTCTGCAGATGTTCCGCAGTTACATCTCTGGGATTTGGTACCGGCAGAATTCTAAAGACTGGTGGAGGTCGTCCTAGTATTCTGTGCAGTTTGCAGGACTGCAAAATATTCTACTTTTTTTTATTTTCTGTTACATCTGCCTAAGAGTTCAGATCATCCAGTTTTCTCTTCTGTTCACTGAAGACCACAATAGAGTTGGAACGTCTCAACTTGCAGGAATAGGATGCTAGGCACAAGAACAGAGGTGGCTCCTGCTGGTAGACGTTGCTCACCTCTTGGTAGCTCACTGCTTTGTGACATCCTAGTGGTCAAGAACTCCACTATTTCCTCCAATGAAGGACCCTAAAATCCTTTTCTCCACAATCACTGATGGCCCATTCACACTAAAATAGAGAGGAAAGCGAGTCAAGGGAGGGCCTGCTGACTTGCAATTGTACTTTCTGATTTCCTTCCTATGCGCTCAGCTGCCAACAGATGCTAACGGAAGAGCACAGAAAAATGAATGAGTTTCAATGGGATCTGTTGCGTTACATTGTGCTTAAAAAAAAGTAGCGCATGTTCTATTTCCGGTGCAGTGTAATGCAACGGAGCAATGTGAACTAGTCCCATTGACTCCCATTCGTTTTTCAGTGGCCTTCTGTTAGCATCCGTTGAAAAAAAATATTGCATCAGATCTAAAGGACACTGCACCACCCCCCTGGGGCCCGCAGGGGCCATCCCTGGGCTGTGCTTTTGTATTTGTGTCTAGCACCCCTACTGTTCCAACTGCCTGCTGGCTCTTTGGCCCCATTCACACCAGGGCAAATGCGTTTCATTGCGGTTTCTGTTTTTTTTAAAAAGGCGGTTTTGGGCCTTTGTGTTTCAGTGCTGAAAAGCAATTAAAAACGCACTGATCAGCGCTGTCTCCTATAGATTTGAAGGGAAACCTGCTGATCAGCGCGGACTCCTATAGATTTGAAGGGAAACCCGCTGAAAAAAGCTCCAGGAGCATTTCGGGCGGCAGATGGTTTGGATCACGCTGAGTCGCGTGATTGCATCAATGGTCTCCATAGGCATATATGGGATCGTTCAAGTCGGCGGTTCGATGCGGACAAATCCACGCGTCCGAACTGCCTTGCTGTGAACGGGGCCTTAGTGTTTTCCTGCTGGCTGCTGAGTCGTCCATGAATTTGTCCTACCTGACTGCAGTATGTTTGGGCCCCTCTTAAACTGATTTATATTACACGGGAACATTGATGCATACTACACGGGAACATTGATGCATACATGTCCCAGCTGGTTTCAGCTTCACTATAAATAATTCTCTGGATTGCTGCCCAGCAGCGGTTCTGCTGCAACATCTGCCTCTTGTACTGAATCTGGGGGCTCTGTGATCTGCTGCAGGCCACTGTCCTCTTTGTTTAGTTGGGAACAGTCAGTTCCTTTTGCGTCTGACATGCTGAGAGAGGTCAGCAGAGTTCTGTGGAGGAGACGGCAGCAAAGTGATGGGGTGCAATGGAATAGTGAACTTGTTCTCTTGGAGAGTGCAGTACTCATAGCAGCCAATCCAATTTCAGCTTTTTGTATTCGGAGGAGGATAAATAATTTGGATTACTATGCTTTGTTTGCTTCACCTCCAGTTTTATTAAAGAGAACCTGCGCACACAGGTGACTGACACAGGCATGCTCCCACATCCGCTCCTGTAGCTTCTTTATCTATCAGATTAGCCTTCCGAGCAATCAGCTGCAGAGACTGTATGATTCTGAGTCACTTCTTCAGTACTTAACTGATGAGCCTTCCCCCTGATTAGTCAGTCTGATGCTATTGCTCTCAAATTAACCCCTTGCTGACCTGGTGTCTTTAGGGACCAAACCCATAAGCAGTTGGTAGCCCTTTGTAGACCTGGCGGGCCTTGCACCTCATCAGTTCCTGGCTGTGACCTTACTTTCAGTTCATGTCTGACTCATCAAAATGCCTGCAGAGCTCTAACCACTGCCAGGATTGACCCCTTTTGCTTATAGAACGCATCAAGCAGGTGGCTGTAGCATTAAATTTCAACTGTGATAGTTTTCTAGAAGCCGCCCAGCTCATTTCTCTGATGCGTTTGCTGTTGGTTTATAGTCATAGGGCACTTTGGCTAACGTGCGCGTCTGTAAAATCCTTGTGTAAAAAAGCGTTTGGTCCACGTGGCCTTTGAGGGACAGTGTCTCTTCCAACCAGCACTTGAAAACATCCTCAAAAATGCTACTTGTGGCAAAAGCACCCGTCTTCCTCAACGGAAGGAACAGAATGCAGTCTTTTCCCTCCTATCCCTCTTGTTTCCCCACTCCCTCTACATCGGGCCAACCTTGCACATGGACATGGAGCCAAGCTTGAAGGGGCTTCTCCCAGCTTGGCTCCATGTCCATCTGCAAGGTTGGCACTTGGTCTGCTAAATCCTGACAAGACTTCCAGTGCATGAAGATGTGCCCCCACTTTCCAAAGTGTGTGTGTGTGGTGGGGGGGCGTCTGTTAACCTTCGATGGAAAGTCAGGAAATCACCAGCACTCAGTAGTAAAGATAAATATGTCCCTTTTTTATTGGAGAGAAAGCGTCAGACATCCTAAACCGACGTTTCGGGGCCGCGCAGGTTCCCTTCCTCAAGGCAGAAAGGTCACATCTTTCTTGAGGAAGGGACCCTGGTTTATTCGGTTTATTTGGATGTCTGTGACGCTTTGTGTCCAATAAAAGGGACATATTTATCTTTACTACTGGTGCTGGTGATTTCCTGACTTTCCTGTGTTTGCACGGCGCCATCTGTGGTAATTCATCACTGCGAGCACCACTTTTTTCTTATCTGGCCGGGACTGCTGTGGGGAGTGCGGAGGATCTCTCCATCGACTTACATGTTAACCTTCGCTGACACTTTCACAGCTTGAATCTTGGATGCGGTAGGTCATATCTCAGGGCTACAAAGTGGAGTTTTCGCTCCCTGCCGCCTCCTTGTTTTCTTATCTCCACCCTTCCTGTGACACAGCACAGATCAGCAGATATCCATGGAGCCCTCTCAGGTCTTCTGGGTCAAGGTTTCATTGGCACATAGTTCGTGTAGCAGAACTCTTTCAGTGGTTTACCTCCCAACCTTGTTACTTTTCCCTAGCCCTAAGAAGGCATTTGCCCCATTCTAGATTTGAAAGCGCTCAATGCCTTGATTAGAGTCCAAAAATTCCACAAGAAATCTATCAAATCTGTGATCTAGACTTTTTAGCTTCTGTGGACATATTTCCAGTGTATCGGCGACGTCTATGCTTTGTTGTGGGGCCTCTGCACTGCCAGTTTGTGACTCTGCCCTTCGGCCACATCTCAAGCAGCTGGCCCTGTTGCTTTCACGTGGCATTCCCATTGTGGGCTACTTCAGCAACCTCCTGTTGTCCAGCCGGAGTATGCTTTTTCAGACGACGTGAAATTGGTCGTCCAGACATTTGAATCCTGAAGCAGGTAGACTCATGTAGGTCTGGTCCTGGTCACACAGATCAAGCCAGAGTGTTTGTTCCACATGAGAAGCTTCAGATGCTCAAGTCTCCGATTCAAACTCTCCCGTCCAGGAGCCGTCTGACTCTCCCATTCCACATCAGAGTGTGATGGTGACCCATTGGAGACCACGGGGAAGATGCAGAAATCTGATTTGTGTGTGTGCCTAGATATACATTTAAAGACAAAGTCCACGTTTTAAAAAGAAATAATAATTGCACACACGTGATCTTGTTTCATGTTTGTACCTTCAATATGGGCATAATGTTGATGGGTTTTTTGTTTTCCTTCTTCAGATGAGCTTTCTGTGCCTCCTATAACTGTTGTGGTTTTACTGATTTGCTGCCATTGTTTGTCTTTTTGTACCTTTTTAGGATTACTATGTGACTTGTTGTGGTCGGACCCCGATAAAGATGTACAAGGCTGGGGGGAGAATGACCGTGGTGTCTCCTTTACCTTTGGGGCAGACGTAGTCAGCAAATTCTTGAATCGACACGACCTGGATCTGATTTGTCGAGCTCATCAGGTAGGTTCACTGCTGCTTTGCCTTAAGTTGCAGAACTTCAAAGCTTGGCGTTCTGAATAGCCAATACTTTAACGTGTGTGACTGCTTTAATCCCACATAAAATACCTCTTAAAGGGTCAGTCCTCCCAAACCTAATTCATTTTTTGGTAGATGGAGAGTTAAATCACCAGAAAATGTCTTCATGTGGGCAGCACTTCTGCCTTGCAGCACTGGGGTCCTCGGTTCAAATCCCAGACAGGTCACGATCTGCAAGGAGTTTGCATGTTCTCCCTGTGCTTGTGTGGGCTTCCTCTAAAGTGCTGCGTAAGTTGTTAGCGCTATAGGAATAGCTGGAATAATGAAGTAAGTAAGATCTCTGCTCTTAGTTCCTTGGCCTACAAACCTGCTGCAACCATTATGAGGAACTTCCACCATCCCTGCTAGATTTCTAAGGTGTGTGTGTGTGTGTATGTATGTGCGGTACATCTCCTGAAAATACATGCACATTGCCATAATTTATCCCTTTGGAATAAATTATGGACATTTTAAAGAGCTTATAACCTCCTGTAGTGAATGGACAACACAATACTTCTGCTGTACTAAAATCCCAACCAGCATTGTCAGCCTTGCCAGAGTTCTCCGCTGCACTACAGAAAGAACCCCCCTCCCTTGTTGTGGAGAGACGAGGGTGTTCTGTAGCCCAGCAGAGGAGATGCACCTATTTTTAGGAGAGGTGGACTAAGCTTTCAGGGTGGCTGGAGGCAGCCAAAAACTGTTGGGGAGAAAATATCACCCCTCCAGTTCCTAAGAGATATAAGAGGCCAGTGGATCGTTCAGCAAGCTGAAATATTTGTTTTGGACAGACTGTCCTCTAAATCCTTGGTTCTCAACTGGTGGGTCGCGACCCTGTGTTCAGTGGGTCACCACATGCTTTCCACTTTTCTAGGCGAGAGGCTTCTCAGCCTCCCCCTAGCGCAGCACTGTTGGTTCTCAAACCAAGCAGCCATTCAAAATATGCTGCCCGGTGGCGAGTCTCAGCTTGGAGGTGGGGTGGGCTGGGGATATGGCCACGAGGGAGCTCCATCCATACGTGCATTGCTTACAGCTCCCTTGCGTGCCCTGTAGAGGAGCCTGGACCGGAGTGACGTCACATTCTGGCTCCTGGCACCACTTCAGCGCACGCAAGGGAGCTGTACAAGCAATGTACATATGGATGGGGCTCCGCACACAGCACACACTGGACACCAGTTCTTGTAAAATAGGGAGACTGGGAGGATCTTATAAAAAAACATTTTTGGAATGTGAATGTGTGTGTCAGAATGATTGAGTGTGTGAAATTATGTCTGTGGTTGTGTGTGTCTGTCGGTGTTTTTGAGGGACCGTTCAAACTAGTACAGTGCGTTAATCACACAGTCCTGTGCGATTAACGCACTTTACCACGCAATCGCACCTATCGTTCGCACCTACTATCGTGCACATTGGTGTGGAAGGTGTGTTGCATTGCCATTAATTTGAATGGCACCCCAAACGCACCTCACACCCACAGTTCGATCGCCCGCACCAGAAGGCATGGTACCACAATGCCGTGCCTTCCAGTGCGGTACGACTTGGGTCACGACTTAATGTCCAAGGACAAAATGTGGGTCCTGAGGTTACACAGGTTGAGAACCATTGCTCTAAATTATACCATGTTTTATTAGTGGACGGTTTATCCCGGCCTTGGAATTGTTGGGGAGCAATGGTACAAAGTGTCCCTGTGAACTCGCTAGTTTAATCTATACCAGAGAGTACAGAAACAAACTCCAACTTGTACAAAGAACCTTCTCTTTGATGAACCAAACTCATCACCACCATTCTTCACAATTCAAGTAAAGTGGGAGAGATACTCGGACCCATTTCTGTCCCCTGACTGATTTCACCCCCCTTACTGGTGTGTAATTGTAGGAGGCAAATGCATCAGACTTGTTCTGGGATGGTAGAACTATATTGTGCAAGTTGCCGGTGGATCATCCCATTACTCCACAAAAATGTGTCCAAGCAAAACATATGGAGCCTGATGAAGGGACCCAAATACAGATGCCAGCAGCACAAAAATTCCTGATCGGTGCAAATCCACTTTATTGATGTCACTCAAACAACTAGCGCTTTTGGGGCCACGTAGGGTCCCCTTCATCAGGCTCCGAAATGTCGTCATGAAGGGGACTCTACGTGGGCCTGAAAGCGCTTGTTTGAGTGACCTCTATCAAAAAAATTTGCACAGATATGGAATTTTCGTCCCGGTGACCTCTGCATTTAAGTTTTACCGGGAGCAGTGCCATCTGCAGTCTTTACGGGTTTTGGGTTATCCGGTAAGGAGTGCGGCAAGGTATATGGATACTGATGAAGGGACCCTGCACAGCCCCAAAACGTTGCCATCCTTTTGTGACTGTCAATAAGACATTTTTGCTTGGACACATTTTTCTGGTGTGGTGGTGACGTCCCGTTTCTTCATTGATCTGAGCGGTGCCATCCGCAGTCACTTCAGCGCCCGCCTTCAAGGGGTTTACTGGCAAGAAACATTGGGAGTAGGGGAAAAGATCAGAGAGCGTCCTAAAGACTTGTCATTTGAATAAGGCTCCTTCTGTCGCATCTCTGGTCCATAATGGAATTTACCTTCCTAAAATGTTGTTTGCATTTTCCTACATTAATTTGCACTTTTTTTTTTTTTTTATTGCCTTCAAATTTGAACTGTTGTGATGTCTGTACTGTTACTAGCATTGCCTGAATGTTCCATCCCTGTGTCTGTGAAGTTTCTACATGCTCACTGGAACGATGACATTGTCTGTTTTGTCCCCTTGCCAGGTAGTAGAAGATGGTTATGAATTCTTTGCCAAGCGGCAGCTGGTCACCCTGTTTTCTGCTCCGAACTACTGCGGGGAATTTGATAATGCCGGAGGCATGATGAGTGTGGATGAAACCTTGATGTGCTCCTTCCAGGTAAGTCAGACATTTAAAACTGTCCTTCCTCCTTCCTGTACATGAAAACTACCGATCGCGTGCTTTCCCCAGGTGTAGGGAGCAGCAGCGCAGCTTTTAATTCTGCACTGACAACAGTGATTGGAAAGAATGGCGAGTGGCAAAGCTTCACCTTGTGAAATGTCACCCAACCTTTCATCTATTTTGATTGAATTTGCTAGTGTGAGATCTGGGAATGGGAGTTCTCAGATTATTGTGGAAGCCTCGGAGGGTTCAAGAGTAAGGGCTAGTTCACACCAGCCCCAGTGCGTTACGGCCCCATTTGGCGCTGGAACTTGCCAGAACCGGCTCACTGCGTTATGGGGCGGGAGGGGGCTGGCGGTGCATTGAAGGCAACACGTAATTGCCCGCGGTGGAACGCATCAATGACTGTCAGAAACAAAATGCTACATGCACTATTTTATTTCTGTCCGCACTGGAAAGCAGGCATTGACTTCAATGCGCCACCACGCCCCAGAACGCAGTGAGCCGGTTCTGGCATGTTGCAGTGCCGAATCGGGCTGGAGCGCACTGGGGCTGGTGTGAACTAGCCCTAAGGAGCAGAGTTTAACAATGCAGAGTATTTCAGGAGAGGTAATGGAGCAGAGTTTTCTAGCAGAACAGAGTATTGCAGGAGAGTTAGGCCCGGTTCACACCTGGGCGTTTTTGTAGCGCGTTCCTATGCTCTGCAAAACGCTCAAACACCGAAATCCCATTTCCTATGGGTATGGTTCACACCTAGGCGTATTACAGGCCGTATGAACGCGCTACAAAAAAAGTTGCGCGTTTCCATTGGGATACAGCCAGGTAGCCCTCGGAAACGCACGTTTGTCCGGTTTTACAGCGAATCGAGCGACACCATACGCGCATATTCGATACGCCTAGGTGTGAACCCAGCCTTAGAGGAAGGAGCAGAGTCCTCCAGCAATATAGTGAGATGATACCGGCATGTTTGGTGACAGACAGGAAAAGTGTTTTGAAGTTCAGTGATGCTTTAATGCTCATTACTTCCCATAGGTATTTCATGTTTTAGGATTATGGCCTCCATTAATGTGCTGCATATTTTCCTCCTCCCCATAGATCTTGAAGCCATCGGAAAAGAAAGCAAAGTACCAGTACGGCGGGCTGAACTCCGGCCGCCCAGTGACGCCCCCTCGGACAGCGAACCCACCGAAGAAGAGGTGAAGATCATATCCTCCCGAAGACACGACACCCTGATCCCCATCAAAACAAGACTCCACCTTATATTAAACGTGTGCACTGTTTAACATCACCTAGCCATTCTGACCCTCCTTAAAAATGTCACGCGCGTTTACCTTACACGAGACAGGTCAAAGATTCCAGAAAGTTTTAATCTGCTTCACTCCCCTCCCCCAATACAAGTCTAGTATGCGCAGCTAGAAATAATGGGCCATCTCCCGCGACAGCATTGCAGAGTCCTCCTTCATAATACCACGGTCAATTCCCCAAAAAAGGAACCTGCAAGCCTGTTCCGAAATCCGGCTAGGGTCGAAAGCAGTGTCGGATTATCGCCCCCGCTACGGCATATGCGTCACGTTAACCCTTTCAGTGCCAGGCCAAAAACCTGTGCAGCAAACCAAATTTACAATGCGATATTCGTTAATGTACATTCTGGCGCTGGGGGTGTGGCTCCCTAGCGCTCTGGCATTGAAGGGGTTAGTCTTTACCATTTGTCTCTAAAGCCTCACTGCTTTTATCATATTTTTTTCTAGTGTTAGTTGTAATGTCTGACTTCTCCTTTTTAAAAGAAAAAAAATTCACCTGTTGTGTGTTCTGTGGTATTTTTGACTTTCCACACTTAGCTTTTTTTTTTGTTTTTTGTCCCGCCCCTAGTTTTTCTCTCTCCTCTTCCAGTCTCACTTAGACAAGCAACCACTTTTTCGGAGGTTCTACCTGCTTTTGACATTAAAGGTTCTTGGTACATATGGTTTGCGTACAGCTTGCTTTTGGAAACGTACAGGCTGACATCGGAAGAATGAACTGATAATCGCAGCGTCTTCTCTTCCCCCTGTAATGTCCAGAACGTGTTCTTGCTTCACTTTTTTTGTTTTTAACTGACATTCTGTCCCTAAGCATCACTGTAGTTGACAGTCAAACCTTCGCCTCCACCCCTTTTACCCGTTTTCAGGTCCGGTATATTACAGCATGTATTGACGAACTGTTTGTTTGCACATAAAACGCCTGTTTTTAATTCTACGGCTCATGTCCACTTCTGACTCTCTCTCTCTCTCCTGGAGTCACGTTGCAGTCAGACTCTGGGAAATTGGGTTTAGAAGTGATTTGCAAACTTGCTGCTAGCCACGACTCCCTGACCAGGGGTTATACGAGCCTGTTGGGCTGGTAGCAAGTTTTTGTGGGCACAGACGCTTTACATGGTAAATAGAAGCCACGGTAAAGTCGCTGCTTCTTACTGAAACAATGGGCTGAATGTTGGGTCTGCCCGCAACATTGCTGCCGCGGCCGTGAGGCGGACAGGTGCACATTAACCCATTTACAAGCAGCAGTCACACTATTAACAATGAATTGTATTCTTTACAAGCAATCTACTAAATGCTTTCAATATCTTTTTTCTTTGTTTTGTTTGTTTTTTCTTTTTTTTTTTCCTTTCCGTTAATTCAATAAAATGTCATTAGAAAAAACACGAAATGTGATTGGCCTTTATCTTGAGCGTGCTCGGTGTTTATCGTTCCCGTGCTCGCTTTTATTAGTTGGGCTTAGACAAGCAAAGGCGGTTTTGTATGGATGAGAGGGATGACTGGGGGTATGTATCGGCAGAGTTTACTATGGTTATTATTATTATACAGGATTTATATAGCGCCAACGGTTTGCGCAGCGCTTTACAATAAAGGGAAGACATAATTACAATTCAAGACAAGATGGTAAGGAAGGCCCTGCTCCTGAGAGATTACAATCAGAGGGGGGGAGGGGGAAGTGGTACATGAGGAGGGAGCTGTGTGGGGATGAATTGTTTGAGAATGTGATGGTTGAGAGGTTAGTTAGAGGTGGGATAGGCTTCCCTGAAGAGATGAGTCTTAAGGGATTGCCGAAAGGCAGTCAGAGTGGGAGAAAGACTAACAGGTTGGGGGTAAGGAGTTCCAAAGAATGGGAGACTCTCGAAGTCCTGGATGCGAGCATGGGAGGAGTTGATGAGGGAGGTGGAAAGCAGGA